CGTCCCAACGGGCAGCGCCGCGGTTATATGTTGATATGTAGTCGAGGGCGAGGATTGGACTGAGGAGAGATAAAAGCGTGAGAGAGATTGTGAGTTGCATTTTGAGTGATGGTGTTCCTTTTTGCTTTATTTTGGTAAAGACGACGGAGTGATCATTGATATCGTGGAAATGGAGACAAATAACCAGGAGAAAGTCTAACAATGAGCAATGAAGTCGGGGTATCAGGGGACAAATAGTGCCGGCAGTGCAAACTTTAGTAGCGGGCGGGATCACAAGATATATATCTCATCATCGATTCTACATACTCCATTCCATTATGAACCTGGACCCAAAAAAATCAACACCAAGAAAAACAATCTCCCAAACCCGGCAAACGTCCGCCCCGCAAAAGCATGGCAAATCGCCAAACCCAATTCTTTCCCTCTCCCTTCCTGGCACCTATTTCCATAATAAGAACACATCTCCTGCTGATCTAATCAAAGGGCTCCAAAAAAATCGGTTCTTCAAATTGTTCAAGCATAAAGAGCACACAATTGGATCACAAAGTACAAAATTTCCAAATTCGGTTGAGATGGGAAATGAAGGGGTATGCACGGATGTTTGGTGTTAGGGGTTGCCAAGATGGTATTTGCGTTGATGAGATGAATTGTGATAATAACTTTTACTTTTTCTGCTTTGAAGGGTCGTCTGGTCGTGGTGTTTCGAGTGAGTTCTTGGAACTTGGCGCTTATGTACTTTTTCGCGTCGTGGGTGAGGAGAAGGGTGTTTGATGTCGGCATTCGTGTTGAGTTTATAATATCATGTTCCTTATTGTTTTCGTATATCCTGGAGTTTTGAGCGAGTGCTTAGGACTTGGATCGGAATGACAAAAAATTTCTCGAGAATAATATCTTGGGTTGGGATGATTTATCCGATCTTGAACTTGCAAAGCTGGATCGCACCTGGCGCCGATGTTTCCAGTACAATATGATCTAGAACTGAGAGAGCGTTCTCGTCTCTTATTCATGGGATTACAAGGCATTGGCTCTTGGCTTCCAGCTGGATACTTGGTTGTCGGACCAATGGCTTTCTACCTCAAGATAGACTTTGCCGCCTTTTTCTCATAAAGTCGAGAACTTTGAGACGCATCTGGCAAAAGTATTTTGTGATGTGCGGTGAAGTCAATTCGCACTTTTTTGACAACAGTGATTATACACATTTGACTTCCTGCTTTATTGACCCCTGATACTTCTTGGTATAATGAAAGCTAATTCTCAAGTGAAAGCTTACCCTTGTTCCTCACGTTCTTGAAGTCTTGCAAAGTTCCACCATAGGCTGGAGCTGAATATATCCCCACGCGTGTGAAGACCCCCCTCTTGCTAGCGACAGGTGTTATTTATTATAAGCCCCTCTTCACAGTTGTGGGCTCCAGCAATCGGAGGGAAAAGAGGTGGAGGTCCACATTGAACGTTTGGGCTGCTTTCACGAAAGGGTTTAGGATTTCCCAACTTTTCCTTGAGAATATCTTCAGTAGATATATTTTACGGTGTTCTCTCCGGTCATCAAAACAGTATATGATGCTGAACGATTCCTCTCCGATACGCACGATATTGAAAGGTCCACGCTCGTTGATACAATGGCGACCCACTGCATGCTCGCCTATACATTGATCCGTCTACACAGACCCATGCAAGCCTTAGATTGTCTCTCTTAGAGTCATTGACTGTAGGGCAGTTCTCCTGGTCTTCCACTTGCGTCATCAAATCCACAGTCCGGACTAGATTCAGATCCCTCTCGAGGAGCAACCCGTCATTGCCATTTTGTGCTCCAGTCGCAGCTATTTTAAGACTAGAACTTCCATATACATTGGCCATAAGAGCAGATTCTTTCAAGCAATCATCTCCATCATCTTGAATAATACAAAGGGAATTGATCCATAAGTAATGGAATCCGAATCTCCAAGCCAATTTGATTGCATCCTGAAGGTTTTGGTTAGGCTAGAGATTGGTATATCTTTCTGGAAAGACGCGAGGTTGCTTTTGAGCAGTTTAATAAAATCGGCATTTCCCCATACGTGACTTAGTGTTGCATATTTAGACTTTAGCGGTATTTTTGCATCATAAAGACGAACGTAGTAACGATGATTTGTTTACGAGAAATTAATTTCGAGCAATCGCGACGGCAATCTCGAAGCTAATTCTGTTGGAGGCTTACATCTTAATATTAGTCGAAGTTAAGACAATGATAACTTGAAATTCTTCCCGAACAAAAAGGTCTGCAGTCCTGAACAACCTTATTACATGCTACTTTTCTCTTTATCGTGTGCACCTGCTCCATATTCAAAAGCTCGCCAAAAATGACAAAAGGATGTTTTGCACCTACCTAGTTCGGGCCGAAGAATGGTGATATCTGCATATTTATTTCCTGATCACTGGGAATTCTGTACATTTGACAACACTGCGCCTCCTGAGTTGTTGCTCCTCATTGCTGATAACAGGGACTTTGAAATGTTGCAAGTACGAGTCTACACACTGCGCAACTTTGCCTAGCAGAGTACTTGATGGCGCGATACGACTCGGGAGAAGCGAATCGTCGAAACCCGGGAAAATCCTTTGACTTTGGTATTGCCACATTGATGACATCCTCACAATCGGCACATATCGGAAACTTCAAAGTTTTACCTACGGAATTCTTTGCTAGAGAATAATATGTCATTTCGACGAGAGCAGCGGTCGAGGAGAGAAATTACAAAGACTTTGGACGAGTTTCTGAAGAAGGGTACCGTTAAGCTGCCTTGCACTGTCAGCATCCTTATTCACATTGATGCCCATCTCAGACCAATGGTTTGTCAAATTCACATATCATTTGCAAATCAAACGTTGTCACAAGGTTGAATATTATTCTTGATTAGCTCATAGACAATATGAAAACTATATACAAAGAAAGCTAAAGGCTGAACCATTCCTACTCGAATGTAAAATCCACGTAAATCTATCATCATATGGCCGTATCAATCATCGATCATAACTAATAAGCCCCCTTTGCACCAGGATACTGGTAAAATTGCGAAGTATCAATACTCTCCAACTGAGGACAACTCAACCCACTCAAAGCTGCAGAAACCGCCGAATTCAGCTGACTCAAAGCAGAGGCAGTGTTAGATAATAGGCCCTTAAGGATATCAGGAGCAGCCTGCTGAGCAACTTGGAATGCAAAACAAATAGCGTTATTTCCCTCGGCCAACGTGGTAACATCGAATACGCCGCCCGTCAAATTCTTAAGGTCGACGCCTGTGAATGAGTTCACCGTGCCGGTATTTCCTCCAACGGAAAGGAACTCGGGGTGTTCAAGAGCCGCGATTTTGAGATCGAATGCGAAAGGTACAAGACCGTATTCGTCGCCAAGAGCGCGTTTATACCAGTTGTCTAGGATTTTCTCATGTCCTTCTGTCCACGCAAAGCTACCTGGTTCTCCAGTAATAGCATAAAATGACTTCAAGACATCGCCATTCAAGTAGCCCTCAGGAAATTCAGAGGATTTGTTGGCCATGTATCGATAAATGAAAGTGTATCCTGCAGGTTGTACAGCAATTCCTGAAAACGGCCCATTGAAGAAATATGGATTATTGTCAATGGATTGTTGGAAACGAGTTGCTCGGAAGGGAGTCAAAACTGATAAATCGTAACCGTTCGGACCTAGCGGCAAAGCGTACATCTCTTCAAATTGAGGCAAGATCACCTTGTAATTATTACTACTAGTCACCGTTAATATGTTTATCCCTTTCACCCTAAGTTATTGTATAACGTACTATTCATAAAGATCCGGACGTGCAGGTGATCCATCAGCCTCATATTTATTATGTGATCCAATTAATCCTTGAGGTTTACCGAGAAGTCCAATTGAGCTCAGTAGGCCTGAAGATGGAGGTCCTCCAATAGACCAACTTGTCAAATCCCCGTCGAAGATAGCCCCATATATAGAGAGGAATGCTCCAAGATCAGCACCCATGCCAAATACTATTTCTTACGTCAGGGCGAGGCATTCAGAATCACGGCAATATATGACTCACCATCATAGGTTCCTTGAACGAGTTGTGAAATTGTCGCTACTCCATTGCGAGGAATATAGTTGTGATTGGCCATAGCATTTAGCCCTATATAGACGAGCATTAGCGTTGACCTATGAAGTATTTTTTTTAAAACCATTTCATTGTGGGCCGCCGTTCTGTTCTCTTAGCTTCTGGCGGAAAACTATATCAAGAGGCCAAAGAAGCAAGTCTCTTTATTTCAGACCAAGAGACCGATTCGAGGGGTTCCTTACCAGGACAGGGACCACGTAAATCATTGGGCCCTGGAGCAACAAATGCATGATCGCCTGTGTTGGATACATATTGGTCGGATGCAGAGAATGCAACAGAGCGAGGACTTGATGCACGTTTTTCAATTTCAGCTTCGATCTGGGCAGTGATCTTTTTAAGAGAACGCTTCTCTTCTAGGCTCAAGGACTGAGCATTGTCAAACATGCGGGAAGGGAAGGCGAGGGTCTCTGTGAAGCAGAGGGCCAGGCCTGTTATTGCAAGACTGTACTTCATCTTGGAAAAACTTCTGAAAAATGGAGGGAAGAGGAGAGAGTTGTAATGGATGAGAGCTGCGAATGGTAGAAAATTCTGGCGAGATCACTCATGGTTATGGTCCACACTTATATCGCCCAGAGTAATGAGATCTGGAGTCAGCTTTTCTGGGGTGATCTCGGGAGATTTATTCTACTTCTTGGCAGGTTCGCCGCAACTTCGCTACCAATCATTGCCTACCGCGCGTGATTTGGTTCCTTTTGTCCATGCTTATCGCCTTCCTCATCTCTTAACCTAGGACTCGGGCAATGCAGATGGTAATCTTCGGAATTCTATCTCAGTGATCCCAACTTTCGAGGGTCAAGGCTACCCATACTAAGAAGGAGGCATTTTTCCTACCCAATCATCAGACCGTCATTTCAAAAGCAAGTCTTGAAGATACTAGCGGCCTTAACTTTTCGAGCTGAAATCACTGCAAAAGAACGGCGTTATGACATCCGGGCCATTGTAAAGTGTCAGAATTGTTGATAATAGAATACTCAGCTTAGCATCAACGCAGCCCATAACCTTAGTGGCACAACGGGTCATAGCAAGCTGAGATGGGATATTATGTGGCGTAAAACTAGGATGCCACTGGCGTCGTTGGAATGCGCGCAGGACCGGTAGTTGACGCAATAGGAGGAATCTCGGGCGATATTGAAGGTTGAACTCGATCAACAGATCCTGGAGATGGGATGGCAACCCTGAATGGCATTGTACTGGTATAACAGCCACTCTTCTAGGCATGCCCAGGTGGTCGCAACACGGTTTATCAAGGCACGAGATGGCGTTTTGACCATTCAGGAGAGAAAAGGGCTGCTAATATTGTGGATGTCGGGTAGATCTTGGGCACGTCCTCTTCAAGGTACACCTGGGCACTCTCGAGTCTCGACTCTGTCCGTATGTAGGTACTTTGTAGAATAAAAAAGCGGCAGGGTTTGGTCACATTTTCGTCTTGCAATAACCCAATTCCTTTCCCTTTACATATGAAGTAAAGTATTTGCATGTCTATCCTTTGATAGGTCATGATATAAAAAACAGGTAAAAACTAATTCAGTATTTCCAGATTGATTTGTTTTATTTGTGGTTGATTAGAGCAGAGCACGTCCCATAACCAGGTTACCAAGTCCCATAACCAGGTTACTAATTCGCGGGGCAAAGAGACTTAAGATTTGTCTTTTTTTGGATCTGCACCTCGGCACTTCTGAGATATGGATGTTCTGAAACTCTGAGGTGAGATGATCACTGAGTAGGTACTTATTGGCTATTCACAATGTGGCCAACCACCCCAGGGCCCAGGTGACAAGTGCACATAATTACACTGCCCTGGACTAGGTTCTTTCCGAAAGAGATCCAACCTTATTTAAAGCTTGAGTCGGGGTGGCTGGGTTGTCATTGGGTCTACACCTGCATCCCATGTTGTTTGGTGGAAGAAATTCACTCGTAGCTGGAGTAAACCAACAGATGCAGAGTGTGGTTCCACGGCTGGGGACGCAAACCAATCAAACGGTGTTCAAGTGCCCTTGAAGCTGCGCATTATTATACATGTGCGTAGAGTGTTGGCTCATTGCATACTACGTGTATATTACTTAGAAATATCAAAATCTTTGCCTGAGCAGGCCCTAATACCTCTATGCACTCAATCCATACACCCCGCGTTATTTCTCACTCCTACGAAAAAGCCAGTATCTGAACATCCAAGAACCGACAACCCAGCATTTAACATTTCGAATGCATCTAAACGGACTCAATAGTGGGAGTTCGATATGTTGATCTGAACTTCTTTCATGCTGGAATATTCTGCACAACGACTGCCAACGGTCTATCACCTATTGACGACTCACTCTTGCCCTTCAAGGGCGAATCTATCAAGGGTCATAGCGGCTGGCCTCTGGGCAACTGACGTGGCTCGTTACATAGAGCCGATACCAGCTATCACTGCGCACGCAAGGTAAATAAAGCTCGGAGAGTTGATAGATCCAACGAAATTTCGTCTTTGGAGACGTGCACCCTTACTTCATTTCCATTTGCGCACATTCAGACGTGACCTGCTAACGTCAAAGCATTATCAACCACCGGAGCTCATCATTCATCCAAACTTCGTTTAAATTGTTAAACAAGGTCATGGTAAGCACTGTAGGAAAGACGGTATCTTCGCTGCGCTTGAATGGCATCGTAAAACCTCAAGGTCTCGTAGATTGAGCTTGGATAACATAGAGCTAGTGTCTAGGTGCATGTTAATCATTGGACTCTCAAGATTCCAATGTCCCCTACTGCCGATACCCACTGGACGAAATTTCTGGCTAACAAGAATATCCCAAGGCGGGAGTGGAAGTTGCCAATGTCGACATGATCCGGATTTCATGGGCAAGGTAACAAGAGCTACCCAAAACCTTGGCTCATTGTAGGATACGGTAGAATAGCAGATTCCTAGCTTTTCTAAATAAAGCTTCCATTACGCATGGATGGCAGCGTCAATATTCTACTCTTTTTACTCACCCAATCGGCTTTGACTAGGAATCATCGAAGGCGATAGCTTTTTCGCCATCCGTGTAAAGTGTACCTCGCGTGTTCGTATAAATCACACGATACTATCCGAATTCTCTCCTACTTTCGCGATCTCTCCTAGAAGAATCTTGTGGTACCTTCTTCGGCCAACTCCTCGAAATGTCAATTCTATCTCTGGGGGCCACAACCTCGAGCAGCAAAAATAACAGATAATCGATGATCACACAGAGGCAAAAGAGTTTACCTGCCCATATTCCGCAACCATAGTATCTCTTAAGACGATCGATCAAAGCAAAGCTTTGTACACCAGCTCTCCCTCTTGCCGCGCTCCAGCTAGCTGCATCAGCTGCGTCATATCCATAGAATTCTGCTTCGCTCAGAACGCCGAAGATTCCATCATAAATTCTTTCTGTTCTCTCTGCCACATCTGTCCATGAATACATCAGCTTCACTTGATCATGAAACTTTTCGGTACGAACTTTGTTAGCTCTCAAAGACGCAATTGCTCGGCCAGTAGCAGCAACTAGATCATCTTCGTCTGGCTTGGCAAAAACTGTCATATGTGATGGAAGCACTTCTGGAATCCCTCCAACCTGCGTGCATACAACATACAACCCACAACTAGCAGCTTCAACTATCACAGTTCCAAAAGCTTCGGTCAAACTCGGGTGTAGATATATGTGCCCCCTAACCATGACATCTCGGACCTCTTCATGCCTGACAGGCCCTAGCATCTCAACTTTATCTTGTAACACATTCTTCTCCAACATCTGTTCAAGATCAATGGCCTTCGGGCCAGATCCTGCAATTATGAAATGTACATTGGGATGGTGGGCGAGAATTCGGGGAATTGCTGCAATCAATAGGTCGGTCCCTTTGTTGTAAAAAAGTCTAGAAACCACGACGATTGTGATCACATCGTGCGGACCAAGTGGATATGGAGCTGGTGGAGGATGCTTTCCTGGGGGGTCGGAGGGATATGAAGGGTGCGATAGAGGTCGAAAGTTCTCTGCCACGACTGCATTTGGAATGACAGAGACCATAAGAGGATCGAGAGAAGCGCGTAAAACCGTGTTTTCTTTACTACAATGTGTTAGGGAATACATTTTTCCTGAATACCAATTGATCAATCCTACCATGTATGACTGACACACACTACATGATCAACATCACTCAATGTAAATTTGAGGAGCTTGTTGATCAATATATTGCCGGCATCTGCGAACCCAAATAATGAGTGATCTGTGAATACAGTCCGCAGCCCCATCGTCCTTGCATGTAATATGGCTTCATGACACATGCTACTCATGCTTGCATGACCATGAACGATTTCAATCTGCTCTCGTAGGACGATATTGCGGAATATTGGGAAGAACGAGAAGACCGTAGGAAAGGTACAAGAACGAAACATAACGAGGAATGGAACATGGTAGACTTTGAGACCGTTTGTAAGGTATCTGACACCGGTTCTATCCTCATATGCATGTGTAATAATTATGACTTTGTGTCCTCGGTCGATGAGCTTCGTAGAGAGTTGGTAGATGTGACTTTCGACACCTCCTGGTTGTGGAAAGAAGAAGTCGCTGACCATCGCTATATTGTACGGCATCTTGACAACAAATACAACAACTGCTGCTAGGATAAATCGATCAAGGGGAGAAACTTAACTTCAGTTCAGGGAGGAATCACTTGTAGTTTTTGGTGCAAGATCATTTTGATGATAACAATTATCATCATCAAAGAAAGTTGAGATAGGAAGCTTCAGGAGCTTTGGCAGCTTTGAGGCCTAGACTTTCGGGAAGTTTGTCGCGCCCAACTAACTGCCACTTTTGTCGCTAAGGTCTCCGTAAATTTTTATTTTCCATTTCTCAATTCCCTCTCAATCGATTGAAGAAAGTTTGGAAAATCGACAATTGACATTGACAATCGTTGAATCATCAATTAAGAAACTTGCAGATGTATTCAAGATATGTGCCTCCTTCTAAAAAGAAGGTAATAACGCAAGAGAATTCTATCGAGGCCCCTCCATCTCCCCCCAAATCATCCTCTCGTCCCCCTCTCGCTCCACCTGCTATACGACCAGATGCCTCCTCAACGTATGCGCGTTATATACCACCTTCTAAATCAAAATCAAAACCAAATGCGCAACTAGATGCCCCCATAGCGGCACCCGAATCACCATCTCCAGCCTCCAAACGAAAGCACGAAGATGTCGTTCAGCCGACGCCAGAGCCCATTTCCAAGAAGGCAAGAAAAGAGAAGAAGGAGAAGTCTGTAACGGCACTCATGTCATCAGTTTCTGAGGAGTCGCACAATGGTACAGTTTCGCCAGAAGAACCACAAGAAGTGACAAGAAAGGACAAGAAATCAAAGAAGTCGAAGTCGAAGGTCGAGACCATTCCGTCTCAGGATACTGCACAAAGTAACGAGGATATAGATGATACAAGGCATAAAAGAGTATTAGAGAAGCGTGAGAAGTCTATCAAGAAGGCTGAGAGACGTGCGCGCAAAGCTGCTGAGGAGGGTCTAGCTGTCGAGAACGCCCAACAGCCAGAGGAACCTACGGAGATCCACGATTTAGTCCCATTGCCGCAACCAGAGCCAATTCCCGAACCTCCGCCTCCATCACTCGAGTCTACTCTCCCTTCATGGCTTGCGTCACCAATTCTGGTCTCACCTACGACTACTGCCCAATTTTCCGATTTAGGCGTCGAGGTTGAAGCTGCCAATGTTCTTCGGTCCAAAAGCTTTAATGAAGCATTCGCAGTTCAAGCCGCAGTACTTCCTCTCCTACTTCCCGGCTCTCAGCAAAAGCCTGGAGATGTATTGGTGTCAGCGGCCACCGGATCTGGAAAGACTCTATCATACGTTTTGCCCATGACCCAAGATATCAGTCATAATACAGTCACTCGTCTATGTGGATTGATCGTTATGCCAACTCGAGAACTTGTATCTCAAGCGCGTGAAGTGTGTGAGGTATGTTCGAGTGCATTTTCTGCTGGCAGTAGGAAACGGGTAAAGATAGGCACAGCAGTAGGAAATGAAGCTTTCAAAGTAGAGCAAGCAAACCTTATGGAAAATACATATCGATATGATCCAATTCTATACCACGAGCAAGAAGCGCGAAAAAATTCTCGATGGGAAAGTTCTGATGCTGGGACAGATGATGAAGGTGAACCGTTCTTCGATGATGAAACCGTTCCTCCTTTGCCTGATCATGTCATTGAGCCGGTATCAAAAGTTGATATTCTAATCTGCACACCTGGAAGATTGGTGGAGCATCTAAAGTCTACCGCAGGCTTTACTCTACAGTATGTCAAATGGCTTGTCATAGACGAAGCAGATAAGCTTCTGGATCAGAGTTTTCAACAATGGTTGGACATTGTTATGAATTCCTTGGTGGCAGGGCAGAAATCACTTCCAAGTATTAAGGATCGAGTGAGGAAAATTGTTCTTAGTGCTACGATGACTAGAGATATTGGCCAGTTGACTAGTTTGAAGCTCTATCGACCAAAATTGGTGGTCCTAGAAGGTTCATCAGCGGGTGATGGTGGAAAAGGCTCACAGGCCCATGTTCTACCATCTGGACTCGCTGAATTTGCTGTCAAGGTCGATGACGAGAATCTGAAGCCATTGTATTTGATTGAAATTTTGAAGGGGAATAACATGATAGATGAGAGCGAGATTAAATCTGACACAGACTCGGATTCGGATTCGGATTCGGATTCATCTTCTGATTCCAGTTCAGATGAAGACAGCTCCGAAGACAGTTCGTCTTCGGATGACAGCTCAGAATCAGACACCGATTCAGATTCAAAGCCGGATCCGAGACCATCACCCAAGTCGAAATCAAAAACCAAAACGAATCCACTGCCGATCAATCACGAACCTCACGGTGTACTCATATTCACCAAATCTAACGAATCCGCCGTCCGTCTCGGTCGTTTACTATCCTTGATCAACGACTCCTACACCAATATCATTGGGACTCTCACCTCCACCACCCGTTCCTCCGAGCGTAGGGCCTCTATCGCCTCATTCTCTCGAGGTAAACTCCAAATTCTCGTCGCTTCCGATCTCGTCTCTCGTGGTCTCGATCTTCCTGATCTAGCACATGTCATAAACTATGACGTCCCTACAAGCATTACAAATTATGTACATAGAGTAGGTAGAACGGCGAGAGCAGGGAGACAAGGGTCTGCATGGACATTGGTTGGGAACACTGAGGCGAGATGGTTCTTCAATGAGGTTGCAAAGAGTGAAGAAATCAGGAGGAGGGACGGAGAGAAAGTCAAGAGGGTAGTTGTTGATGCAAGGAAATTTGGCGAGTACAAGAAGGAAACTTATGAGGAGGCTTTGGAGGAGCTGGGTCAAGAAGCTATGGCTATCAGGAAAAAGAAGTCCGGATAGAGGGTCAACTAGAGTATATGAAGTGCTACGCAAATATTAAAATTTAATGACATGATGTTGTGTAATATCTTATGTGAAGAAGGAGTTGTAGATGAAAGTTGCCCAGAAGCACTTCTCACTTGAAAAGGCGTTCGAAGTGTTCAAGGAAGCTCGAGTCGTAGACTCAGGCGAGCGGTGAGGTTAGCTGACCCGAACGCTAGCTAGTGATACCGAAATAATTTTTTACGCCTATTTTTATTCCAGCAACACTTTTATTTTTATATCAAATTGATTGACATTATATAAGATACAACCTTCTACTCGAGTAGCAAAAGGAATGCGGATTCTTTGGAAGCTTCTCTACATCAATTCATGGGATGACGGCGAGCTACACCCCCATTTTATCTCTTTCTGATAAGGAGGGGGGATTACCTACCTTGGATTATGCAGGCAACTTCATCAATTGCCAATTGCCAATCGTTAGCCCACGAGCACCTTGGAAGTGTAACTCCGAATCGTTCCTAGGTAGTTACCGGTACCGGTACATTTTAGCTTTCAGGTAGTAGATCCCACCTAGTGCCTTCAATTTTTTCCTAATCGCTGTCTCTCTTCCTTTTCTATAAAAAAAAAACTACATTGTGTGGCTGGCACCGAAGGCAGTTGGCTGTCTATCTGTATAAAAGGTCCTCGCCCACATTCAATCTCCAAGTGAGAAAGCTGGAACTTCGGCCAAGGTCTAATTCTCTCAATTTGTGGGATTCCTTGCTCAACCACTCGTTTCTTGTCAAGTACAGGTGTCATTTACGGGATTTTCACATTTTATCGTCTGTGGCATTAGGAAGACATGGCCAAACATTTTCTCGTCACCTTAATATCGGCGGGATACTACGTTTCTTTAACCCAAGCTGGAGCCGAACTAGGAAAGGAATCTCATTTGCCAGGGGTACCATCCTTCGTTGTCCCGTCGGCATTCCCAACCTCAGTGTTTTCGAGTTATTATCTCAAACCTGCTACAACTACCGAGCCCCAACCAGCTTTGTACGATCCGATACTAAACGTCACCTTTCCTCTTAATCTTACTGACCCTAAAACCATACCAACTGCTACCGATGATCCAGTATACTATCCAGAGGCTGTCGGCAATCCGAGCAATATACCTCCTGAAACATTGCTCCAGAATGCATTAAACGAGGTTAAGGATATCATTTACAATGAAACTGGGCTTTCAAGCAATTGTTCAAAATGCATCGCTGCATTGAGCGTCGGGAAAACTCTCGCCCAGCAAGCTCCAGAATATGTACCTGATGCTTTAATTTCGTTATGTCAAGCCACAGGCTTTGCAACAAACACTACGTGCAAAAATAACTATTCACCAGGAAGTTGGGGTGCAATATGGGCACAAGTGTTAGCATTGGCCGATGTTACTGGATCGGACGGTCAATATATATGTAGTTCTCTGAGCACTACTTATTGTCCGCTCCCCAGCGCAGCGCCATTAAATATTACCGGATTGTGGAAGCCAAAGCCAGCTAACGTAAAGGCTCCAAAACCGAGCGGACAACGAAAGAAAGTCCTCCATCTTTCGGATTTTCACCTTGACCCTAGATATCAAGTTGCTTCTGAGGCAAATTGCTCTTCCGGTATGTGTTGTAGATATACGGATGCACCCACTTCTCAAGCAATATTTCCAGCACCATTGTATGGGTCTTACAAGTATGTTTCATGTTCTTATTCAATTTGAATAATCAAATAATGGATTTTCTAGATGCGATACCCCATATTTCCTTGCGCTAGCAGCTCTTCAATCCGTTGGGGCTATGACCGGTACTAACGGCTATGGATCGGAACCCGCTTTCACGATCTATACAGGTGATTAACCAAAACTTCTTCTATACAATCTCACTAACATCCGACTAGGTGATCTCGTTTCCCATGATCCTCAAAACCAAATGTCACGAGAATACGTTGAGTATACGGAGACTAGTATCTACTCAATGCTGAAATCATACATCAAGAACCCTATCTTCCCCGTACTAGGAAACCATGATTCAACCCCGGAGAATATTGATAGTCCCCACAGCTTACCTGGTCCTCTAGGTAAGCAGTTTAGCTGGAACTACGATCATGTATCGTCCTTGTGGCAGCACGAAGGGTGGTTGAGTAAAGCAGACGCCGAGGAAGCTGCTATTCACTACGCTGCTTATTCTGTGAAAACACATC